AGTACAGTAATGGAATCCAAATAAGTCACTTGGGGCTTGAGCTTAAGCCTGCTCCTTAAAACTAAGACCCAGAGAAATTAGAGGGACTTATCCCAATGAAAAACAAATAAAATATAAGCTTGAAAATGATGTGTCAAGCTGGAAATACAATATTTAAAGATGTTCATTATTTGTACAACCCAATAACATTTCTGAAAAACTACGCCAGGTCTACAGTAAGGTCTTCTTCCCATTCAATGGCCCCACTGTTGCCAGATAAAATTTGCAGAAAAGGAAAGAAGTAGTGAGGTGGGGGAGTGGCTCATAAGGATGTTGATATCTACTTCTGGGTAAAACCCAGAAATGACAATAGGAATTGCATGAAACTCTACAATAAAACCATAACGTTTCCAGCAATTCTTAGAACTACCTTATGTCACTTCAAGGTTTTACCTGGAAATGGTGTAGCAACATTGGTAGAATTGCTTTAAAAAAAATTCTCCTAACACAGCTTACAAACTCCTTTCCCTTCCCCTCCCCACAACAGACACCCTGTGAGGTAGGTGGGGCTGAGAGAACTCTGACACAAACTGCTCTTTTTCAAGGACAGCTGTGCCACAGCTTGTGACTGACTCAAGGTCACATCAGCAGGTGCAAGTGGAGGAGTGGGGAATCAAACCCGGTTCTCCCAGATTAGAGTCCACACGCTTAACCACTACACCAAACTGGCTCTCCGTACTGATGGGATAAGCTCCTCCTCCAATTACAGGGTCGGATCCAAGCTTTGATCCAGGTGGGAGGGGCTTATCCCCTGGAGGCTCTCCCAGTCATGCATGAGCTCGGTGAACCCCATCTGGAAATTGCTAGAAGGAAAACACCTCTCAGAACCAGAGAGACTAACTCAACACAACAACTTTAACCAACAAACAGATATCATAACCGACAGAACGCTAGACTAGCAACTGTCTAAGAATAGAAACTGGGGACATAGGATACGAAACCCCCTTTCTCAGCATTCTCTTAGGTTACTCAGCAAAACTCCGTCTCTCAACATTCCCTGCAAACGTGTGAAGCGACAAAAAACCACCACAACTGGGCGGGCCGGACTGTCCCACTCCTGAACCACCAAGAAAGGAAGCTTCACGGTAAGTGAAAAAAGCCTTCCCTTCTCCAGTGGTTCAGCTAGTGGGACAATCCATACAGATTGATATGCCACTAAAGTTGTGGCTCCCCTTAAGGAGTGAGCCACGATTCCTTTATGTGGCTCTAGGCCTTTGGCTTTGTAAGTCAAAAAGATGCAACTCTTAATCCATCTTAATCCATCTAATTATGGTGGTCGCGGACACCTGGTTTCCCATCGAGGACTTTCTGAAAGACACAAAAAGGGTTTCTGACTTCCTCCACTCCTTAGTTCTATCAATATAGAAACTAAGAGCTCGTTGCACATCCAATGTAACTCCCTTTCTTTATCATGACTCACCACAGTTTAAAGCCATCTGTGCAGCCGATCACCGTTTCCAGGATCCGGTCAGGGGAACGAAGCCGCTCCTGTCGCTGGAAAAAAGGCTGACTCAACCGCACCCCTAACAAGGTTCCAAGGGGCAGGTCCTCTACCCCAGGAGTGAGTAAGGCCGGCAGGAGTCTAGTGAGGATGGCCAAAAAACCGCAGCAGCAGCTGGGGACCTCCCAGTGCCGAACGTGCCCTCCTTCTCCTCGCCGCCGAAACGAAAACACCCTTTCAGGTGCCTGTGGCACGCTTTTCTTTCTTTCTTCCTTCCTTCTATCTTCTTTCTTCGCTGCACTAAAGAGCGCTGCTGAAGCACATCCTGCTCTGAAGCAGGACCGGCAAGAACTGGGAGAACCTCCAGGGGATAAACCCCTCCCCACCTGGATCAAAGCTTGGAGCCGACCCTGCAATTGGAGGAGGAGCTTATCCCATCTGTACGGACTGTCCCACTAGCTGAACTACTGGAGGAGGATACAATGCTCCTTCAAATTGCACTTTGAGTCACCCACTGAAAGTGACCTGTTCCTTTTCCCATCTGTCTCACATGGTTAGGCCTATGAATCTCCTAACCATGCCAGAGAAGACTTTGTTTCCATGAACCAGAGGTAATCATCATGGTTATACCAGGTGGAAAACAATATAAAAGCCAGTTTAGGTAAATTATTGGATGATCTATGTTCCATTTTGTCTATTTGCTTTCATTGAACTCATAAAGGAAAAAAAAGCCATCATAGAATTCTTATTTTTACTTTTTTAAACTTGCTTATACTGTAAATAGGGTATCCAAAAGCTTAAAAAGATGTAATATGAAAGGTCATTGTGGTGAACTGTACCCATGTCTTTTTTAGGACTTCCTTTCTCAATGTTTGCCTTTTTATTTGGACAATTTGTTTTGTTTCCAGACTCATCTCATCAGGCTTCTTGTGCTTTTTAAACTCTACCTGCTGTGGTTCTGAAAATAAAAGCTGTGGCAACTGGCAAAACAATCTGAGGTAATTCATTTGGTATTTATATGAAAGCAGTTGAAAAAATACTATTTATTCTGTATTAGAATACTCATACTCTAAAAGGTATGTTTTTCTCCATTTACTATAATAAAGCATATTTTCCCTTAGAAGGTGAAGTTAGTTTAAAGACCTAGCAATCATCTGGCAAGACTTGTCTCTCTTTCAACACCAATTATGTGACTATGAATATTAATGTTGTCAGGTTAAATTCACAGTTCTATAGCGAAACACTGTACAAGACCCATGATAGGAAGGGTGGGTATCTAAGAACATCCTGGAACAGCTTGATCTCTTTTATGTAGACAGTCTTGTTATAACAGAGGCTGTTATAACAATCATGAGATGACGATCTCAGTCTTGGCTAGATAAACAAGTCCTTAGCTTAACTGGGGCTATGAGCAGCATGAGGGAGTCTAGAACCAGAGCCCTTTTTTATTTTATGGCTTCCCCTTCAGCAGCTGAACTACTACTTGTCCCACAGCTACCCTTTCCCATTCCTGACTAGGCCTCTCCCTCACACACCATCAAACATTCCTAAAAGAATAGCTGAAATTGCTACCAAGGTTAACATTTGAACTGCAGGAGAGATCAGCAGGTTTGTCTACTATATACATACGTTCTTCCAAAGTGAGAAATTCCATCAAAGAAAGACACTCCAAAGAACATGGGGCACTGATAAAGGATGAAGCAGCTTTGCAACAAAAGTAGGATTCAAAGCAGACCAAGCATAGAATTTGAAGGTATTGGGGATACTATGATTTCTAGAGTTCTATTTTAATTAAGTTTAATGACAATGCATAATATTATTACACTTTTTAAAAAGCCATATTATGAACACTTAGGTTGGTGCAATGGTTTTTAGTAGGGAGGAGATGGGACAAACTAGGGCTGCCAAGCCCCTGCTCAGAGCAGGGGATCCCCTGCCCTGAGCTCTTGTTGCCTGCTGCCAGTTCAAGTGATGGCAGGGGAAATTAAAAAAACAATCCCCCCCAAAAAAACCGCAGTATCAGTGGCATGACAATGTCACTTCCAGGAGAAACCAGGTTTCCCCTGGAAGTGGTGTCACACATCTCTAAGAATCACTGGAAGATCTAGAGTAAAACCATAGAGTCTCTGGAGATTCCTAGAGCTACCCGCCATTGCTTCTGATGTCACCCCCTCCACCATGTTCCCCCAATCCTCCCCCCCAGTTGCCAGGTTGAGCCTAGCAACCCAAAGACAAATGTATTTGATGTTGTTAATGGGCTTTTAAAAGTTCCCTTTCAATTTTGCAAGAGAGATTCTGTAATACTGTCTCTCTGTCCAGATTTCTGAAATGCATTTGAGTAAATGATGAAATTCTCATGTATGTGTCTGACCTGAAGATACATTTATAAATTTGGTTAGACTTGTTCTCTCATTCACATCTGTTGGCATTTATTACTTCTCTTCAAATAAGGTATTTTGATAACTATTCTTTTAAATCAAATGCATTCAGGCAATCCAGATTTCTAAGAGGAAGGAGGACACAGGACAGTCCTAAAATGAGCCATGAGCCATAGATAGGGTGGAAGACTGGTCCCCGGGGGGGGGGGGGGGGGGCTGTCAGCAACGGCATGATATCCAGGAATCACTGGAAACTCTATGGTAAAACATAGGCCTAACAGCTGTTTTTTAAAAAAATTCTCCCAATGTCACTTTGAGCAGTATCAGGAAACAGGAGTTGAGAGACTGGCAACCCTAGCCACAATACTTTTATACTGTGAAACTTGATTAAGAGTTCTGCAGTTTTGCTTTCCTTTGAAGGTGGAAACTATGGTTAAACTATGGTCCTCCATATGTAGACCATTCAACTTACTATGGCTAGTTAAGGTTTGGAAAACCAGAATTGGAAACCATTGTCTGAAGTTGGTTTATTAACCAAAATTAGTCTTCACAGTATGGTTTGCAAGCAGTATGAATGCAGGCACCCTGGCTTGATTCCCAGAGCTAAACTCATGAACTTCCCCAGCTACAGACACTTGGCCAGAACAGAAATAATGAAATCAGCATGTGTTGAGGAAAACCAGGATTTGAGTGACTATCTGAAATCCTCGTTTCAGAAAATGACCTTAATAATAATAATAAAAAAACAATCTATGGTTTGGTGTTAGGCCTCAAGTGATCTTTAAACAACATCCTAAATGCAAAGTTATCCATCATCACCATCACCCTAAACTTTCCCTCTTCCAGATATGAAGTATGATAGCAACTCATTGGTGTTTACAGAGTAACGTTACACTTTGATAGCCCAAGGAGGATGAAAGGAATTGGAAATGGATGCACTGCAAATATTATTTCATATACTCCCTGCATATCAGATATTATGAAAAATACCTTTAATACAACAGGATACTGTTTGACATGGACTGTTAAAAATAAATAATCCCTTAGCTTTGCACAGTCTAGAGCACAGATAAAGCAAGAAGTATATTGCACAAATGTTCACTCCATCTACGTTATGGTTATTTTCATATATAGAGACTTACAGATCATTGTGGATCAGGCCATAAATCTGTGACACGCTGTGATGATAGATTCCTCGAAGGATAATTAAAAGCAGAATCACAACAAAAGCTGGAAGACCCCAACCCAGAAGGAAGAACATGAGATAGCGCCGCTCTGTGTGTTCATCATTCATCACCAGGACGTACCAGAAATTAACAGCCTAGGAAGTAATAGAAAACATGATCAATAAAGGTATATATGAATTACTAACTACCCTGTAAAATAAAAAAAATTCAGAAAGGTATCACTGTAAACATTCAATGACAAACTTTGTTATTGTGGTTGTTTAAAAAAATCTCAAATCCTGACAATGGGATGTATGCAGATTTTTTGTTTGGGTTAAGTTTGCCATCATCCTGCCACAGCAAGATACCAACCCAGTAAAATCACTACAAATTCTTCTTGGGGCAAAACCCTTCATTTATATGAGTTTCAACTGTTGGCATCAAATATAGGACAGTGGTGCCCGACTACATTGGAGACAACACACCAGTCATGTAGATTTAATATGAATAACTAGAGCACAGACAAAACTCAATTTTAAGTAGTTTTAATATGGATGGAAATTTTTTACCACAAACATATACATTGCATGCTTCATAGTCATGCATGAGCACACAGACCCAGCTGCTACGAGGTAACGTTATGGTGAACTCAAAAATAAAGCCCTAAGCATCAAAACATGTACTTTCAGATCAGAAGCAAAGCCACAACACCAAAGGCTTATTGTCAACAATCATGCCCAACTTTCACTGAAAAGTAAAACCCATCTGCTTCCAAATAAAAGAAATTACCACATATTTCCTTAGCTCTACAGGTGACTGAGAATGAGCCTGTTTCAATCTAATTTCACTCACCACACCTACAACCCGAATATGAACCAAGACCCAGTGTATCACTGCCAAAATGAATAGGATTCATCCACCATGAACAAAGGATTATGCAAATATGTATGTATTCACACTAAAAAATTACACATGGTGGGAGAGAGAATGAACTATGGGTTTGCTCCAGTGCCTTAAGGTGTGTAAACACTCTGTATGCCTGGACTGTGCTTGAACAGGTCCTAGGTAAAACAAGTCAAATAGATCAAGCAAAGAGAAAACATTTTAATCATAACCACCAACTCAATCAATAACACATTCAAGATACTCAGTCCACTCACATCACATCCATTCTCAGTCATAATTTAGTCTGTCCCTGTCTTTACATAATGTATCCATTTTTAACCCACATATATACAAAATACATAGGGGGAAAAAACTTTGGTGAGATTTATGATCATGCACAGAAAAGTTGTCGCATGTCAGTCTAAGATCTAGGTCATCTCTGAATGGCTGATTGCCATATACAAAAGAATATAAGCAACTCACAGCCAAATACAAGTTAGCATTCAGGGGAAAAAAGGTTCCTAGCTCAGGGCAAAAAACCAGCAAGGGTAGCCAGTAACAAAAGTAATTCAAGCACAGCTGAAATAGAAGGGGGCCCATTCTGCATCTAGCATTCACTCCGTTGTTTTACCAAATCCACACTGGTACAGAAAAAGATGTGGCTCAAAACCACATTCAAATACCCTGGGCCAACACTGTACTGACTGCAGCAACCCCTGAACAGCCATAAATATACGCAGACGGTACCATAAAACTGAAACCGGCATGCAGTGTGGTGGAGGCTAACATAAAATCCAACAATCAAAGAAAGTGAAAGTGGCAGGCAATGTACAGGGGAATTTCTTTTTCAATGTGGGTTTGGTAAAACAGCGGAACGAATGCTAGATGCAGAATGGGCCAGGGTTTGTGATGTGCGATTCTTCCACAGATGGAGCCAGATCACAGTCAACATGTAGACTGCACAGATTTCATCTGGTCTGTTCATACAGGATTTCTAGTCCACATGAAGGGCATATTTAGGGCTGAATGACACACAGACACCACTTGAACAAGCAACTGCAGATCAAACACACCACAGGCAGAACTTTCATACTTCATATCAGAGGTCATTTCATGGGGCTCAGCAGTGGAGCTGCAAGGCCGGCGGCGGCGGCCGGGACCGTTGGGGGCGGGGCGTGTGGCCTTATGACACACTTCCGGTGATGTCAGGGTGTGTGGCATATGCTAATGAGTTATGCTAATGAGTTCCCCTAGCTCTGTTTCTACGAAACGACCCCTGCTTCATATTATCTTCTCAATGGATGTACATATGGCAGAGGGGAGTGGGGCAAACATTTAGCTGAAATCCTATGTAGATGAGGGAAATTTTTCTCATCCCTGCTTCTCTGCTTTCAGTCACTCCTTCTCTAAGTGGCCTTTTAAAAAATAAATATGATGTCAGTGAGGTGAAGTTAGCCCCTCACTGAGTGATAATTCATTGAGTGGTGAGATACAGTTGAGATATGAACGTGTGCATCAAATCAATATCTGTGAGGGTCAAATGAAGTTCTATAGCCACATGATGCTGCTAAGAAGACTTTTCAAATTTGAGTTCCTCCCAAGCACAACTAATGCAGAAGGACACATGCACGTTTTATATGTACATGGTATTGAATCTTATTTTACTGACCCATGTTCTACACTAGCATAATGGAGTGCAAACTAATTTAGGCTGAAGGACGTTCCTGAAGCCTAAGCAGACTTCCTCCAGACTTCCACAAGGGGAAGCTGGGAGGGTCCTTAGGCTAGAGGAAGGCTTCAAACTTTGGTCAATGAAGTGGTGGAATATATGCCAATAATGTCAATTCAGATTTACAAAGGTTTCATTCCTCTAATGGTGAAGTCTCCCTCCAGAACAAAGAACTTTTAATCACTTGAAGGGAGCTCCCGGCTGCTGCCGAAGGCAATGGTGGCCGGGGGCTGATTTGCCACCGCGGAGGAAGGTGGGGCAGCGACAACGTCCCCGCGCGGGGACGGGGGCAGGGAGGAGCCAGCCTAGTTAGGCTCGGCTCCGCTCCCACCCAGAAAGACTGACCTCTATAGGGAGGATGGTATTCACTTGTAAAACGAGGGCGACAAGTTATTTCTGGAGGACATTCGGCAAGGAATCAGGGCCGCTTTAGGTTGTTAGGTGGCCGCGTCAACCAAAGCAGAGGCTTGACTGTGCGAGTGGCAGAATAGTGGAGGGATAAGGAAGCAGAAAATGGTGAGAACCTTAAGCCGTTCCCTGTTTTGGGAACTGGGGGGACTTCAGGAACGGCCTGCAGGTTATTAAGGCCCAAGGTGGTGAATGATGATACCCTATGGGAACCTCTTGAGTAAGCTCCTCTCTGCAAGCTGCATGGTTTCAGGGGTAGGCGCTCCTGGGAGGCTAGACCAAGACAAAAAAGTTGCCGTACAAGTTCAATATACTTATGCAAAGTATGGATAATTTAATACATATTCTTTTTGTTTCAGTAGCTGCACATCCAGAGACCGAAGTCCCACCAAGACGAACTTGCTCGAGATTTTAGCTGTTCGTTTCGACCAAAGTCTTTGTCACATCTCAGTTTGTAGACATTCTTTCTGTTCACAGATTTGTTATCAGAAAACTCTAATACCAGTGGGGAGCTGTGTTCAGCCACTTGTGAATTGACTTTGTGAACAGAAAGAATGACTACAAACTGAGATGTGACAAAGACTTTGGTCGAAACGAACAGCTAAAATCTCGAGCAAGTTCGTCTTGGTGGGACTTCGGTCTCTGGATGTGCAGCTACTGAAACAAAAAGAATATGTATTAAATTATCCATACTTTGCATAAGTATATTGAACTTGTACGGCAACTTTTTTGTCTTGGTCTACTCTCTAGGGTTGCTGGGTCCTTGTTGTTGTTTGCTCCTGGGAGGCTACCAGTGGCTGGGCTGCTGGTCGCAAGCCAGATTAATGGCTCAAGACCGGGGTTGGTGGCTCGCCCACATATTAGACAAGGAGGCTGGTCATCCTGACACCTGCCTTGTCTGTTCCACTACGTAGAAAATGCTCCCTTGCCGTTTTTTGATTAATAAACTGTTATGTAGTTAATAAAGTGGCCCTTGTTTGATCCAAACTGTTGCCCGTCTCGTTATTCCGACTGGGGGGGGCAAAACATCTCTTCCACTGGAGAACGCTCCTTGAACCAGTAGAAGGGTCCTCCATTGTAAGTGGAACAAAAATTTTGGATCCAAACTGATATGTTGTGGTTTAAGTAAAATATAATCCGAGAACATTTATAGCCCAAGAATGCTGCTTCTCAGTGAGAAACAGATGGTTATTTTGTTGTACCTTGACAGGCTCTTAGGGTTGCCAAATCCTTTTAACTCACCAGCGGGGGAGGCTCCGTCCCGGCCGGGAGTTCGGCGTTCGTTCTTGCGCGCGTGCGCGAAGCGCGCGCCGCTGCGACGTCATCGGAAGTGACGTCAGACGTCGCCGGGGGGTTCCCCGCCCCCCGGGCACATTTGGGAACCCTACAGGCTCTGCAAAAAAAAAATCAGCCTAGTAAATGGAACATCCAGAAAACTGTCTTAGTTTACTTGAGAAAGAAATGTAGTATAGGTAAAGAAAATTTCTTTGCATTCCAATGTATAGACTTTCCTCATATTATTTGCTGGGTACTCATTTTAATACCACACTTTCTGTTTTCTGCTACCAATTTTATAATTTGTGAGGTTATTTCCTTCCTGTGACATTAAAAGAACAAACGAGCCATTTGGCAGAAAACAACCAGCTTCATGGCCTTGTAGACAAAACTAGGCCATGGTCCAGCTCTAGACAGATGCACCCTGGAATTTATTTATGTCATTCTGTTTAGTCAAGAAGCTGGGATCCCATTAATTCTCTCTGTAAGAACATGTCTTCTTATTCATGCAACTCAAATTGTTTCTAAGAACTAGCACTATATGTCCTCGACCTTGTTTTCTGTATCTGTTTAACGATATTTACCTATCTTCTTATCTCTTACTACATGAATGATGACTCAGACATTACTGGGGCCTGTGAAGTTTTGTGTGAGTTTGGCCTGTTTGTTATTTCCAGTCCAGTGTCATTTTTATCTTGATAACTATACGTGTTTTGATATTCCAGAATTAAATAGGTGAAATACAAACAGTGGATCTAAATTTAGCAAAACCTTTTCTATTTCGATGGTGTAACAATAACCCACATGTAGAGGACAAAAAAGCACAGCCAGTTTCCCTCCTGCCAGATGAAGGAACCTTTGTGAAGTTCATATTACACTAGGGAGTAAATTCAAAATTATTCCCTTTTAATATAAAGCTGAATGGAAGCCCGATTAAACCTATTTCATGTGAGGGTTCTGTTTTGGAATGGAGGCCTTCAAGTTACCTTGCAGAATACAGTGGACAGTAGTCTAATTTTTTAAATTCTAAATGCATATATAGTTAAGGCAGACAATATTGTACTTACTAAGGAAAAAAAACCCCAAGCTTCATAGAAATTCCCTGCTTCCTCTGTCTCACCATAACCCAATGATCTACGTGAAGTCCTACTCCTGGGGGATAAGGGATATCAGGGGGTCTGTAGCAAGAGAAGGAATTGATGGAAATTGCCAATTTAGTCTGGATCCAACCAAATGTATTTTGAGAACAGGTATTTATTGCATCTGGAGCCTGAGGATGTGGACAAGATCCGTGGAGAGGTGAGGGGAGTGATAAATGCTTCCTTGAGGGTGGAGGTTGTACCACCCATGCTCAAGGAAGAAGTGATTATACCTGTTTTGAAATAACCCTCCTCAAACCATACTATGTTGGAGAACTTCTGGTCATCTCCAGTCTTCCATTCTTGGGCAAAGTGCTTCAGCAGGTGGTTGCCTCTCAGCTCCTGGGGCTTTTAGAAGTGACTGATTTTCTGGACCCATTTCAATCAGGCTTCAGGCCAGGATTTGGAATTTAGACTGCTCTGGTGGCTTTGGTTGGTGACCTCTACCAAGAACTAGACAGGGGAATGTGACCCTGCTAGTTCTGCTGGATCTTTCAGCAGCCTTCGATACTATCAGCCATAGTATCCTACTGAGCCACCTTGTGGAACTGGGACGGGGGGCACTGTGTAAAGGTGGTTCAAGTCGTAACAGGGCGGCTTGCTCTGAGAAGGTGGTGCTGGGGGATTCCTGCTCTACCATTGTCATTGGCCTATGGGGTTCTACAGGGGTCAATCTTATCTCCAACGCTATTTAATATCATTGTGAAGCTGCTGGGTCATTAGAAGGTTTGGACTGCGGTGTCACCGGGTGATATTCAGCTCTACCTTTCTTTCTCACCTAATTCTGAGCCTATTGTTGATTTTCTGAACTGGTGCTTGAAAACAGTAATGGGCTGGAGTGAACAAGCTTGAAACTTAACCCTAACAAGACAGAAGTTCTTTGCGTTAGCAGAGAGGCAGACCAGGGACTTCAGATTTTTCCTATCTTGGATGGGGTTATAACCCCCTTGGAAAGGCTGGTTTGTACCTTGGGAGTGCTACTTGACACAGTGGTCACCTTAGAAAACCAGGTGGCTGTGGTGATTCAGATTGTTTTTGCCAAGATTCAACTGGTATGTCAACTGTGTCTGTTCCTTTCCAGTCAGATCTAGCCACAGAGATCCATGCCTTAGCTACATCTAGACTGGATTACTGCAATGGATTCTAGTTCGGGTTAACCTTGAAGAGTGTTCAGAGGCTGCAGCTAGTGCAGAACACTGAGGCTGGACTGCTGGTCAGGGCCAGGTATCGGGAGCATGTGATCCTAATATTACAGCAATTATACTGGCTACTGATCCACTCCCAAGTCCAATTCAAATTGTTAGTTTTGACCTTAAAAGCCCGACATAGCTGGGGACCAGGGTATCAGAAGGACAGTCTTCTCCCACATGTTCCTGCCCAGGAATTAAAAGCACAGGGAGAAGCCCTCCTGACTGTCCCATCAATCAAAGAAGTTTGTTTGGTGGGTAAAAGAGAAAGAAGGCCTTTTCAGTGCCAGCCCTACAATTATGGAACAACTTCCCCAGGGAGATGTGCCTGACCCCCTCAATTTCAGTCTTCAGGAGACACTTGAAGACAGCTTTATTGTGATCGCATTAGGTAAAGTTTATTAGGTTAAGTTGACTTAATTGTGATTTTAAATTTTGGTTTTTATGTTTTTTGTGTTTTATCTATGTTGTAAGATGCCTTGAACTCTGTAAGAAAGAAAGGCACTAATAAATGTTTTAAATAAATAAATAAATAGTTTGCTTACAAAAAAACAAAGTGGTTTCCACATTGGGACAATCTTGTATAGTTTCCCCTTTGGTGCTACAGCTACAAATACAGCACAGAAGCAATGCAGCTTCTATTTGCATTTCTTCAGCCTCCTGTATGTTATTAATTAGTCCTGTATGTTTCCCCATCATGCTTCTTGCATCTTTTTGGACCTGATTTTGCCTTGACTCCTCCTTAATCCCCTTCATTACTATTTATTAAACAACAACATGCTTGCCATTTTGGTAGGAAAGGTGGGCCTGTGGATTGCTGGAACTTGTCTCTGGTTCTGCATGTGCATGTACAAGGGCATCTTTGTGCATTCTACAGATAGAGACACTTAAGAGCACCAAAACATACTTCAAGCACCAATATAAAGCTTCCAAGAAACTACCCCAAAAGAGGGCAGGATTTTGTTTGTTCCCAACAGAATCTCTGAAAGTAAAGCACTGATGTGGCTAAATCCTTTCTGATTGTACAATAAATTATACCCCCCAATGAAATAGCACTACAGAACACCAAGCTTGTGTCAGGAGCAGGTGACGTTTCTTTGCACCCAACTCAGCAATGTCCTCAAATGTAGTACTTTACCTCAAATAAATGAATGATAGCTATATACTGGATGTCAGCGGAAAACATAGTATGTGTACACAATACACCCATCATGATTTGACACAGCTGATCTTAGAAGCATCCTGGGACATGTGGCTCTGTGGAGCACTTCTGTGTTGCAACATAAAGCAATACCAAGAGGACATGTGACAAACACTTGCTAGTGGACTGCACTCTGCAAGAACAGAAACTTTGCTTGTTAGGCAGCTCGTATAAACCTACTGATACATGAAAAACCAGTGGCAAGACCAGGGGATCAGAGAGACTACATTAGGCTCACTTTTTTAGACTAGTATTAAATACTATTTGTAGGGACAGAAACAAAGTCAGGCACAGAAAGCTGAAGACCATTAACAAACAAACAAACAAACAAAAAACTAAGCATCAAGGTCAGAGAACAAGAAAGCTAACTAAAAAGCCAGTTGCTAACACTTTAAATTGTGTAGCTGTTTTATTTTGATTTATTGTTTCATGATATATTATGTGAACTAATCCATTTAGCTATATAAACATAATTATTTTATGGCACTAGTTAATTTCCTCCTTTTTGGATTCCTGCAGTAATTCTATGACTCACTGGAACGGTATAATTATAATGAATGACAGAGTGTAAGACATTTTATTTCAATTCATTATGGATGACCATGCACCAGTTAGCAAAGACTTCACTTTTTTCTTTGTGAGCAATGCAGCTCAACTGAAAATAAAATTAATCCACATAATCCAACCAAGATGATATTGTGTGTGTGTGTGTGTGTGTGTGAAATAACAGTTTTTCTTTCAGACCTGAATTGTGACAAGAATATGCATAGCTAGGACAACAGACACGTTAGCTGGGCAATAGGCTTTTCTTACAGATGTATTTCTCCCAGGATAGCATTATCTGTCCAGAGGCGGATATATGAAGATTACATACATGGGATTTAAGCACTCCACATTTTATCTTGGAACACAGAGAAATTTTTTGGTGATTATTTGTTTTACTTTGGAACCACGTCACAGAGCAGGCTTGAACATTTATGGAAGTGATGTAAAGATCTTTGATTTGAACTGACGTTTGGTAGCCAGGATTAAGTTTATTGGCATCTATAAATCACACATAAGAACATAAGAGAAGCCAACGTTGGATCAGGCCAATGGCCCATCTAGTCCAACACTTTGTCACACAGTGGCGAAAAATACCAGGTGCCATCAGGAGGTCCATCAGTGGGGCCAGGACAATAGAAGCCCTCCCACTGTTGCCTCCCCCCCAAGCACCAAGAATACAGTGCATCACCTGCCCCAGCCTGTGAGTTTTTAATATTAGTTCTCCTCCCAAACAGAGGATGTTATTCAACCACTTGTACAACCCACCCACTTTACTAGCCTCCCAGAGTTGTTCCATGACTCAGTCTGTGGACCCTTCAAACATTTATATAGTCCAGGCAGCTTCCAAGCATAGGCTGGTGCTGGTGATGTCTGTCACTAGGGCTATTTGGCCAGAATATTAGCTAACGCTAATCTAGTTGTCCACTCTTAAACTACAGTTTAATGTTTTAAATTCAGGATTAAGGAGCCCCCTGGTAAGTATTAACCAAGGTTAAAAGTGGTGACAAACTTTTTATTAAGAGTGGGATAATGCAGAAGAGGGAAATCTTTCCTTTGAGAGCAAAAGAGAATCCTTGACCCTGAGTCTAGATGCCTGATTGATTAATCATTCAGCATTACGTTTGCATCAGTCCAATATGCAGTGAGTTCCCTAAAATGAAGACTTTTAATAAGTGTGCAAAATGAACAGGAGTAAAAACACTATTTCATAGAATTATAGAATGTTAGAATTGGAAGGGACCTTGCAGGTCATCTAGTCCAACCCCCTGCACTCTGCAGGACCATAAATATTTGTCAAAGTTGAGTGAAAGAGACTAATGTAATTACTAACCTGAATAAGCATCCAGCTGAACTGGCAAAGATAGAGGTAGTGGGTGACTGCGCCCAAAGCTGAGCAGCTTTCCTCTGAGAGTTGCTGACTTGTATAAGCTGAGGCCAGAAATGAGATCTAGAAGAAAAAATTATATTGGCACCAATTAACAATGATATCCACAAAAGAATGTCAGACCTTTTTGACTTGCCGACTGAAATACAGGGTTATTGTTTTATCTGATGTGGTTTTGAAATGGTTTAGAGAATTTTTACTTTATTCATATTGGTATGCTTTTATATTATAAGCACCTTCGCCCCAAACTGGATGGTTGAAGCTAGCTTGATCTTGCCAGATCTCAGAAGTAGAAGAGAAGAAGAAGAAGAGATTGGATTTGTACCCCGCCCTTCACTACCCAAAGGAGTCTCAGAGCGGCTTACAAACTCCTTTCCCTTCCCCTCCCCACAACAGACACCCTGTGAGGTAGGTGAGGCTGAGAGAGCTCTGACAGAAACTGCTCTTTTTCAAGAAGAGCTGTGCCAGAACTATGGCTTGCTCAAGGTCATCCAGCAGGTGCAAGTGGAGGAGTGGGGAATCAAACCTGGTTCTCCCAGATTAGAGTCCGCGCACTTAACCACAACACCAAACTGGCTAGGGCTTGTACTTGGATGGGAGACCACCAAGGAAGTCCAGAATTCCTATGCAGAGGCAGGCAATGACAAGCTACCTGTTTGCCTTTTGCCTGGAAAACGTTATGAGGTTGCCATAAATTGGCTGTGATTTGTCAGCACTTTCCATGAAACATCTGTTAAAAAGCAGTCTAAATGCCAGACATAGTCCACAATGCATCCTTTCGGCTCCTAATGCCTACAACCCAAAATTTCAGGTATTCCACTTATTTCTAAATGCTATTAGCTATTGCTGTGGTACCAAGCCTGTTTTAGAATGAGCCATGGATGCTGAACTACTGACAGCTAATAGGCTCCATCGATTGAGATCACATGTGTGTTCTTCACTCAGGCCAAACATTGCTGGAGGAGCTTTCATATCACTTAATCTTAGCTCAAACAATAATTTTCAACTGAGGCGCTGTCCATGTATTCATCTGTGACACACCTGCAGTGCCATCCTAAGCAGAATTACACCCTTCTAAGCACATTAAGGGACTCAGAAGAGTGTAACTCCACTTAGGATGGCACTTATGAGTAATAGACAATCATATGTGAATCATTTTTCCCCTCTTGTTTCTAATGGTATTATTTTGCATTTGCATTGAAGTATATACTTCTTCTCAAAAGCTAGAAGATATTTTATTTAGGATCAGGAACAGAATGCACATATATGTGCTTGTCTTGTCTGTTAAAATGCCATAGGGCAGAGTTTGTTTTTAAAAGGAATGAGGGGGGGGAGTTGTACATGTGTAAACCACAAAAAAAATACAGGATTGCCATTTTATACCTTTTTCTGAGCTCTCAAAGAACATTGTCATTTGATAATGAAGCAGAACTAACAGCATGGAAGGCAGATGCTAGTTCAGATGTGTGTTGCAAGAAGCAATATGTTAGTCAACAAAATAAACTTTAAAAATAATAATTCAGCATCTTCTATCTTTTGCAGGGAACACTCTTTTACTTTTGGGGGATTTAAGTATTCTCCCTATAGTTTTTTTATAGATTTCAAATATTTGAAGGGCTGTCATGTAGAAGATGGAGCAGATCTATTCTCTCTTGCTTCGGATTGCAAGACTAGATCTAATGGGTGGAAATTACAAGGGAGTCGATACCGTCTAAATATCAGGAGAAACTTCTTAACTGTAAGAGTGGTTGAGCAGTGGAACAGACTGCCTCAGGAGGTGGTGGATGCTCCTTCGCTGGATGTTTTCAAGAGGAGGCTGGATGACAATCTTTCAGATATGTTGTAGGGCTATCTTTTGGCTATGCTCCTGCAGAGTGCAGGGGGTTGGACTAGATGACCTGCAAGGTCCCTTCCAACTCTAACATTCTATGATTCTAAGGTGGCTGGCCAACCTGAGTAGCAGCATAATGCAGTGGATTATGTGTCAGCCTTGATCTGGGGAGATGTGGTTAAGCCATGCTGAGCCGTGGAAAAAGCCCAGCAGGAGCTCATTAGCATAATAGGCCACACCCAACAACAGAAACTCGTTAGTATATTAGGCCACGCCCAGACAGCACAGCTCATTAGCATATTAGGCCACACTCCATGCCTTCACTTGGCTTGTCTGGGCTCCCCGCAGCTGCAGGGAGCCCGGGCAAGCTGGCCCTTGGACAGGCCGGGGAAGGC